CTCTATTTGTGCCTGCTAATCTGCACATCTCCCACTAAATGATATGGAAAGTGAAACACTCACTTGGTTTTTTATGTTTATTTCTGCCCCCAGTGCTGGCAGAATTGGATGTGTTACTACATTCACTGCTATTACGTTGTCTCTTTGTTTTACTTATTACTGATACATCATCCAGTACTGCTGAGGTATCTCCAGATGCCGACAATGACAAGGAGTAGTTTACATGTCTCTCCAGTGGTGTAGCAGTTTCCTTTTTAAATTCCAAAAAGGTTGGTCTATCTGCAATAACAAGCAAGACTAATCATGTACAGTTAAATCTGTCTGAACAAAACAAAGAAACTGACAATTTTAACAATAAACACAGCTGAAAAAAACATACCACAAATATTACATCCTTTCTCATTGAGATTCTAGATTAAACAAGCCATGCATGACACAGTCCCCATTAGTTATCAATTCTAAGTTATATAGTTTGATATACATACTCATTTTGTGCAACCTCCTGCCCGCTTCCGTTTTTCAATCGCTTTGTTTTTCGCCCGCTTTTACAACCGCTTGTTGAATTCAACCGGACAATTTCCGCTTTATTTTCGACTGTGCAAACCCTGAAATATCACCACCCGCTCGCTCGCATTTAAAATTTGGACCAACAAAAAAGGTTAACATTGTCTTTTAATTGTCTTTCTGGTTTTTCATAGATGTTGAACAGCCATCAAAAGTTCAAATACTTTTTGTTTTAACTATCTATAATTATATGCATGCAATCTGACCTTTTGACCTCAATTTGGCTAGGATTGAATATTTTATTTTAAACAATATTCTGACGTGAAATACAAACTGTATTTCAACACAAGTACGACATGGTTGTCTGAGCTTCCTTTCCAGAATGTTGAGTCTTCGCAATGTGAAATCAAAAAAATAACAAGCAGCCTGTTGGCTGAGATAGCTCCGCTGTTAGCAATGCACATTGCAATTAAAGAACAGAAGATATCATTAGAAAATGAACAATATGTATAGTATCAAAAGAACATGTTTTCAACAAGAAGTCAAAAATATCACTTTTTACCAAAAATTTAAAAAATATTCACCAAAAATAGAAAATTAAAAATATCATTACAAAATGAACAAATCTGAGAGAGGTCCACATGTAGTACCTATGTATATGTAATATCAAAGCAATTTGATCTGCGGTTTTTAACAAGAAGTCAAAAATATCACTTTTTATCAAAAATTACAAATTAAAATATTCACCAAAATTAAAGAATTGAAGATATCATCATGAAATGAACAAACCTAAGAGAGGTCCACCCCAGGTACATACACACCAAGTATCAAAGCATTCAGGCTTGTAGTTTTCAAGAAGAAGTCAAAATAGTAAACATTGACACAGACGACGACGAACAATCACTAATATGATAAGCTCCGCTCGACAAAGTCGACAGCGGAGCTAAAAATTCAAAGAGCATTGGGGAATATAGTAATAATCATTTTTAGCAATCGCTACCTTTATTTTATTCGAATTGAGTTTTTTGAGATTTGTTGGCAACTTTCGTGCTTAAAATGGTTGAAAATGTTGGTGTTGTTCTCTCACAAAGTCCTATTGACAATACGAACAAATATAGTTCTGTGACCCAGGCGGTGCTCCGATCAGGTGACTTTCAGTCAATCAATGATGTTGTAACAAAGCATATCCAATCTCGGCGTCGAATCTCAATTTTTTTTTGTGCTGTGACAGGCTTATTCGCTGAATCAAAGAAAGCTTAGAAAGAACTCCCGTGTGCTGAGAGTATTGGGAACACATCAAAAATTAATTCAAAATTACTTGTACTAGAGATATTGATGGAAACGCAGAACACTAATTATGCAAATAAGGTAACTAATATGAACAGATTTAAGTGTAAAACTAATAAGGTCTGCACAATGTACCAAGTTTCATTGAAATGTGATTAGAACCAAAAAATTTTAATTATTATTGTCTATTGTCCTAGAGCATTTATTTACCAAGTTGTATTCAAATGTGATGATGAATACTTGAGATATCAGTATTAATTAATTATGTTAATTAGGTGATTAAGAAGGATAAATATTTACCCTAATATGGTGTATAGTCCTAGGTTCATTGAAATGTGATGGGTACTCTTTTAATAGTTTCATTGAAATCCAATGAGTGGTTTTTAGACATCAGTGCAACAGCCATAGAACAGCAAAAAATTAACTAATTATGCAAATTAGGTAATTAATAGGCACAATTATTTATCTCAAAATTAATCAGGTCTCTGCATAGTCCTAGAATATCTATGTCGCAAGTCTCATTGAAATATGATGATTAGTACTTATCAGATATCAGATGAAAAGCTGAAAATTAACTAATTATGCTAATAAGGTGATTAATATGCACACATATTTACCCAAAAACTAATTAGGTCTCTGCACAGTCCTCAAGTAACTATGTACCTAGTTTCATTGAAACGTGATCATTACTACTCGAAATATCAAAAGCTGAAATTGAATTAATTATGCAAATTAGGTAACTAATATGTACTGATATTACCCTAAAAACTATCAGGTCTGTGCAGTGTCATATGACATCTATGTACCAAGTTTTATTGAAATGTTATGATTAGTACTTGAGATATCAGTGGAAAAGCAAAAAATTGATTAATCATTATGTAAATTACCGGTAGGTAATTAATAATATTAACAGATTTTTACCCAAAACTAATCAAATCTGCGCATTAGTTCAGAGCATCCATGTGCCAAATTTCATTGAAATCCAATGAGTGGTTCTTCAAAAATCAGTGGAACAGTCATGGAACAGCTTGAAATCAGTTAATTATCATTCAAATAATAGGTAATTAATATTCATAGATTTTTACCCAAAACTAATCAAATCTGCGCACTAGTTCAGAGCATATATGTACCAAGTTTCACCAAAATTTGATTAGTGGTTCTTGAGATAACGGTGGAACAAAAAAGTGACATACATACATACATACATACATACATACATACATACATACATACATACATACATACATACATACATACATACATACAGGGTAACTGCAAAGACTCCCTTTTGTGCTTCGGGTGGAATTTGACCTTTAATGCCATTCGGCCATCTTGAATCAGATCATGAAACAAATTAACGTGCATATGTATGATATCATGTATGATGTATGTGTGAAGTTTGATTGTGATTGGTCTAGGCATTTCTAAGTTCTAAGATACAGGTCCGGACGCACGCACGCACGCACACACACACACACGCACACACACACACACACACACACGCATGCACGCACGCATGCACGCATGCACGCATGCACGCACGCATGCACGCACGCATGCACGCACGCACAGACACACGGAGGTCAAAACATAAGTCCCCGTTTTCAGACTGCGTCCGAACGGGGACTAAAAAAACTGAGATACATTAGAGTGTACAGCGCGAATCAGTTTTCTTTGCAAGTTGTTAAATAAAGTAAACCAGAGTAGGATCAATGATTTTCAGTACCGAAGGACTTCTGTGTGAATCCTGATTTTCGAATTGTTCATCGACTGATCACCAATATTTATGGCTATAACTAAATTTGACACGTATTTTTCTGAAGCCCAATAAATTATTCATACATGTCAAGCTCTGTTCAATTTTTCAGGGCATGTGGCGGTTTCTATTCAAAAATATTTTTACAATACGTGTAGCTCATTCACTGATCGTGACTTAATTTTGAAAATTGGATGTCAAATTTTACCAGACCGTGGTTTTGGTATCATTATTTTTGGAATTATTCAATATTTTCCTAGTTTCCCCACTCTGTCAAAATGAATTAGCTATGCTTTTTTCACGCAACTGTCTCATCAAAATGAAATAAAATATTACATTTAGAACAAGCACCCAAATGACATACCATAATAAGAGGTCGCAGTTCAGTCACTCTCGTGAACGATATAAGCGTCATACAACTATTAGATTTGAAGTGTCGTTCAGAATTTAATACTAGTTAATACTAGTTGTATTTTCACATTTTAATATCAAAACCACCATTTTGACCGCTCATGTGTCAGTGATCAGGGTCTGGGTGACCAGTTGGCGTTTTCAATGAGCGAGCAAGCGAAAAAGAACGATTGAAATGCAGTTGGTTTCCAGTCGGAAAAATTAAGCGATAAGCGGTCAATTAAAAAGCGGTAAAAGTGGAAGGTTGGGCAAAATGAGTACTGTATAAGGAAGTAAGCAAGGGCGTGTCCGATCAAACGCCTGGTAGTCGGTAGGCCGGTTCCCTGTGGATCACCAAAGGGGAAGTGACCCATAGCGGAGACAGTATTCAGGGGGAAAAATCCTTGGTACTGGCTCCGCTGACAATCCCTGGCTGGTAGGAAGCAAAAGAGAGACAAAATCCATGTCCTGCCCTGCTTGGTCCCCTTCCATATCGGAGGTCTGTCCCATATCCATATCGGATGTATGTGTAAATTTTAATTTAATTGGTCCAGGCATGTCTAAGATACAGACATCTTGTGAGACATAATGCAATACAACGTACCTCGCTAAAGGAAAAGTGAATGGCAGAAGAGGAAGGGACAGAACAAGGGCAATCTGGTTTAGCAAAATCAACCAGTGGACAGGACTGAATATATACAGAGGCATGGAGTGAAGAAACATTGCATTCAACCCTCGGTTCGAGGATGGAACAAATGAATGAATTAATTCCGAATGAGTGCTAGGTCATCGTGGACAAGTGACTTTCAGCAAAAATGATTCACACTAAATAGTGAAAATACTACACTAATTGACATATTTTGGGGAGCATATTACTAACATCTGGTACTTGTGATCAGCAGTATAAATGTTTATTATTTCTACGTCTAACAAATTCAACCCATTTGTAGAAAATTATACTGGCTAAAAAATTGAATTAAACTTTTTTTATAGTGGTTGATAAGATATTCATATAAAATATGGTAATCACAAGAAAAAGTTTTACGATATAGTAAACAACAACAACAAGGACCAGCTTTCCTTTCACTTGTGATAATATAGGCAAGGTAAAAGAAAGTTGGTGAGATGTGATATTAATCAGATATTCTTCCCATTTAGTTGAGAAATAATTTTCTTTGAAGGAATCCAAACTACTTTATGAGTGAGAATTCACTATAACAATATCTGTCAACATTCATCAAATGTGAGGAAGTGTCAGCTTCTCGCTTGAGTTGCCGACTTTTCTCCAAAGGTGAAAAATGTAGCAATAATTTTAATTACATGAAAAAAATTGAATCTTATGAGAAAAAAAAACACACCTTTATGGGAGACAGCATCAACTCTGTCTTTATATGGTTCAGACTTAGTACTGTTGTCTTGATGTGATCCATCCCTAACTGTGTGAGGCTGAGAAATGGCATTGGTAATTGAAGGTGGACCAGTAGAGATATCAACATTATTAACTTGACTTGTCTTCATAACTGCACCCTGTTCTCCACTATGTTCAACTGCTTTTTTCTCATTCTGTGGCTTTGAATCATTATGTCCTCCACCTTTTTTTCTGTTTTTTTTATTGTTCTATGACAAATAAAAAATACATCTGTTAATGATTACATAAGTCTAGACCTACAAATCATCATATCATTAAAGAGACACTGATAGGGTCATTAAACTAATCCAGTGTTTGCAAATTACATTACAAAGACAAAAATAATCAATTACACCTAGTTTATAAACGCGTTAGCCATGACAGCAAACATTTCACTTGAAAGAATACGGTCATCATTTTTCACCAAGGAAAAGACAAGAATTGAACAGATTTGACTGGACTTGACTACACTGGATTGTACCAGATCAAACAGGACTGGACTACACTAGATTGTACCAGATCAAACTGGACTGGACTGGACTACACTGGATTGTACCAGATCAAACTGGACTGGACTGGCAAAGTGTGTAACCAAAAGAAATGATCATACTTACTTTACTCTTCTTTCCAGTAAAGTTCCATTCTTTTAGTACTTCAGAAGCACCATCTACAACAATAGAAGAGATAGCAATGAGTCACATCTCTTATTAAATGAATCTGAAGTGGTCATTTTGTATGTGTCAATTATGGGTCTAATCATATTGGCTTAGTCTAACCTGAATACAAATTGCAGTAGTTATCTCCATGTACACACTGTACATACAGTATGCCAAACATATGAACAACAAATTAACCTACCCTCAACAAAGGACTGTATTGTTTTGTCAACATCATAATCAAAGTATTGGAGAACAAGAAGAATGTCATTGTTACTGGAACGTGATACCACTTCACGAACAGCAGCGATCTGCAATAAAATAATAATAATAGCATCATCAAGTAATTGATAATGGGAGAGTGTAATGTTCCACTTTTTTATTAATTTTTCCTGTTTTTTTGGGTGGTATCTATATATACATCACATGCACTCAGTTCATCAAATGATGAAAATGCCTAATTTTTCTAAAATGTTATCATCACAACAGTATTTTCTGCAGTATATTAAATGGCAAACCAAGAATTATGAATACATTATAAAATATTATTATATTAAATACCTTTGTTTTCAATTTATCTTGACTAAGTGTCGTCTGTGCCATGACTGTTTTTGTTGTTGTATCAAAATATACCTCTGAAGAATCTGCAAAGGCAACCACCACTAGTTAGGAAACTTTCACAATATTCCAAACTGATCAGAGGATGGACAAAAACTAAATCAATACATGTAACCCCTCCCCCAAAGCATGACGCGTTAGTGAAGCATACATAAAGTGGTTCTATAACCATGATAAACATTTCTTATTTTCCTTCTATGCTATTCCCACAACATGTATACCAGATAACTGAACTTGATGATGTATACACAGGAATTACATTTGATGTGAAGTACCTAACATGTCAATCATCATAATTCTGGTAGATACTAATAATCCCTTTAATTATTACCAGATTACATCACATGTACTTAGCTGGGCCAGGTTGTGATGTGTTCAGGCTATGCTCTAGTATGGGTTCCAATTAATACTACATATAATCCCATATGATTGCATATCAGTTAGATCAAGTTGCATTCATGCACAAAGGGGGGAAACAGTTACAAGTAGTATGGACTAAGAGACGACCAATCTGGTTAAGAATATACATGTGTATATACAAATCTTGAGACCTTTTTAATTTACATGTAGATTTCTCAGTACATAACCAGAAGATATACATTATAGTTCTAAGCTTATAACAAGCAGCCTGTCGGCTGAGATAGCTCCGCTGTTAGCAATGCACATTTCAATTAAAGAACAGAAGACATCATTAGAAAATGAACAATATGTATAGTACCAAAGCAATCGGACTTGCAGTTTTTAACAAGAAGTCGAAAATATCACTTTTTACCAAAAATGACAAAAATATTCACCAAAATTAGAGAATTGAAGATATCATCACAAAATGAACAAATCTGAGAGAGGTCCACATGTATTACCTATATATATAATATCAAAGCAATTGGACTTACGGTTTTTAACAAGAAGTCGAAAATATCACTTTCTACCAAAAATGACAAAAATATTCACCAAAATTAGAGAATTGAAGATATCAACATGAAATGAACAAACCTACGAGAGGTCTACCCAAGGTACATATACACCAAGTATCAAAGCATTCAGGCTTGTAGTTTTCAAGAAGAAGTCGAAAAAGTAAAACATTGACACGGACGACGGACGACGGACGCCGACGACGGACGACGACGACGACGGACGCCGACGGACAATCACTCATATGATAAGCTCCGCTCGACAAAGTCGACAGCGGAGCTAAAAACTATAACAATGCAGATTGCACAATACATAGTAGTACCAGGTACACAGTTTCATTGTCAGTCCATTTTCTATGGATGTGCTTGCATTGATTGTTACACAAGAAATGACCAATATGAATAGTTATGAATATAATAATATAATGCGCTAAGGGTCTAGACTGCAAGATTAGGCATGCATTTACAGGATCTCAGCCTGTATTAATCATTTGTGCATGTTTTTCTTATCAAATGTTTTGATCTCTTAGCTCATGCTAAAAAAACTGTACGCAAACACAACTAACAACAGGTCAATAGAACAGCACCCATTAATAGATCAGAGTTTAGTAATATCACACACAGATCACGGTTACTAACTGTGCACAACCTCATTTTAACTAGGATGGACATTATTGAAAAGAAAGAACTTTTTGAAGGCCTAATATCCTCAACTAATAATAATGCAGAAAAAAAATATAGAAACATGTATGAATATACAATTTATGTTCTTTGTATTTAGTCAGTGCATGCTTAATTTATTTTATTTTCAATCAGTTAATTGTTAGAATAAGTAAACAGTTTTGCCATGTATAATCATATGTACTTTTGAAGAAATACGAGACAGACTGACAGACAAATACAACCTGCTATCAGAAAAAGTCAAACCAACTGTGTAAAGCTGGCATGAATATTGATTGGATTTATATTTTACAAGTAAAATAACAGTAACACAGTGTTACAGTAGTGAATGTGTTGTTATTTATTTGTGTGTACTTTGCTACATAAGTAACTACCAGCCAAGCTACATTATAGTACATATACATTTACTAAGGCTTTTATATCAACTATCACCTTGCATGTACATTGTAGTAGCCATATTAGTTGAACAATCAAATTAAAGCATTCCTTTAGTAAAATTTAACAAACAAACTTGAAATGCACGGAAAATAATTAAAATGAATAAACAATTCTAACTTGTTATTGCATTACAGCCACATATTTTAATAATTATTTGTTTATAGTCCATGGAAACATTATTCTAGCTGTACAGTATTTGTTCTATTAGACATGCACATTTGCTACGTGTACACAACAGCATTTGATCGGAGCCCTATGGCAAAGTTCAGCTCTATTAAACCCTCAGGGTTGAACTCTGATAGGGTTGGGCCCTAACATAGCTCAGACCATGTATATACATCAGGGCCCAACTATCGGGCTGAAATCACACCCTCAATCGTAAGCTCTAATTTCATCTATGGCGGAGACAACATTGTACAGTACTACACACAGTGCTATGATGACAAGTTTTGATTTCGTAAATGATTTTTTGAGCCTTGCCCAGACACAGTTTTAGAATACATAGTCTAGTGTGTAAAAGACATGGTCATGTACTTCTTTAAAATGTACAAATGTGACATGAATTCAAGCCGCTATGCATAATAAATAGAATGAATTATGAAAGTCTGCAACTGACTAATGAGTGTTCACCATATACTGTAGCACATGTGTCCAGCAATTTTTTGTACAATATTCATATCATTGTTTTTTTTGTATCATACCCTAGCTTCTTATTATAGTGCATATGATTGCTGTTTATAAAACAGGGTCAAACCATATGAAATTATTTGAAACAAAATCCATTCAGCTGGGTTCAATAATAAATAACGTACATGCAATTGCTGCTCTGTGAACCCATTTTTATGTAGCATCACTGTTACTCCCATACGACTTAGCACCCAGGGTACTCCGCTCCAAAAATCATGTTTTTTTTTAGAGATGTGGGTGCTTTGTCCAGCCACCGCTCTTAAAGTATGCTGATCAGGAGGAAATTGTGTCTTTTGGAAAAATAACATTGCGAATTGAGTCGCCATTGATTTCCACAATACAAGAAAATATAAATGCACATTTTATGCACACAATATGGATCACGTAGTATAACAACTTATCATGTAAAAATTATTAGAACCTGTGGGAAAAAAGTGGAATTCAAGATATTTCATAATTATCTTTGTTGTTGAATGTGTTTGTACATGTATGTGACTTTTGATGATGCAATTTCTACCATGAATTTGTCTGCAGTAATTTATAGTGGAACACAAAAGTGCACTCGTTCTTTGTCAGTGGCTGTACTGTTAAATATATCTTATGTACATGATAACTTACAGCTTTCTATATTTGTCAAATAAATGTCAAATAGTGAAGAAATTAGATACAAAGAACATAGCACAGTATACATTTTGCGTGTATATTTATTACGCATATTATTTTATTCATTATTATTCTAGATCTACTAATACATAGTTACCTGTGGAAATCAGTGAGCATATTAACTATTTTCATTTACAAATATTCCACAAAATCTTTTAAAGTAGATTATATCGCTAATGTAACAATTTTGCCAAAGAAACTTGGCCTAACCTGATACTAAAGAGGAGTGGTATGGTGATGGCATTTATTTTGACATAAATTTAGGTTACATATTTATCTATATGTAATTTTACCCGTAGATCCCCCATACATGTCACATAGAACAGATTAACAGAATATATATAAATAGTACGATCTGAATTAATGGAGTTTATACAAACTTCACTCGTAAATAAATTAGGTATATTTATAAAATAATATTCTTAAACATTTGGACAGTACATAATGACACCACAATTGTCCATTCACAAGACATGCATTCTATTGTACATAATTGCAAACTGGAGACAGAAGAGGCCAAATGAAACCAGCAACCTGTCGGCCGAGATAGCTCCGCTGTTAGCATTGCACATTTCATTTCCTGAATTCAAAAATGTCACTTCACCAAAAATGACAAAAACATTCATTAATTATTAAAGATATCATTACAAAATGAACAAATCTGACAAAGGTCCACATGTAGTACCTATATATGTAATATCAAAGCAATTGGACTTGTGGTTTTTAACAAGAAGGTGAAAATATCATTACCAAAAATGACAAAACTATTTGAGAACATGAGAATTGAATATACAATCACAAAATGAACAAATCTGAGAGGTCAACATGTAGTACAGATATATATATATAATATCAAAGCAATCAGACTTGCTGTTTTCAACAAGAAGTCGAAAAAGTAAAAAGTTGACACGAACGACGGACAATGACTCCTATGATAAGCTCCGCTTGACTAAATCTACAGTTTAGCTAATAGAAATTAATTAGCCTTCCAAACAAGAAGCTTGGTAACTAATATTTGTTATATGAAAACATTGTGATCCACACTACTGAAATTTATGAACTCCAAACTAATTAAGTTGTTGCAATGTCTTAGAGTATTTATGTACCAAGATTCGCTGAAATAATATAATAAGTACATGAGATATTGATAGAAAAACTAAAATCTGACTAATTATTATGCAAATAAGGTAATTAATATGCACAAATATTTCATTGAAATGTGATAAGTGCTTGAAATATCAGTGGAAAAGACACAAATTTACTTATTATGCAAATTAGGTAATTAATGTGCACATTTTTATTCAAAACTAATTGGGTATGTGCATATGTACCAAGTTTCATTGAAATGATATGATTAGTACTGTAATATCTGGGGAAAATCCGAAAATGTACTAATTATGCAAATGATATAAATGGATATTAACCCAAAACTAGTTAGTTCCATGGATTGTCCTTGAGATAGCAGAGGAAATGTCAAAAATTTACTAATTATGCAAATTAGGTTATAAATATGTATGTAACATTAGCCTGGAGTATCTATGCATCAAGTTTCATCAAAAACCAACATATAGTTCTTGAGATATCAGTGGAACAGACACACGTACAAATAATGTACCTACATACATACAGTCGCACTAACTTCCATT